CTCCTCAGGAAGACTCAAGTTCTTCATTTCCTCTGAGAAAACATAATTCCAAATTAAAACCAGTTGATGCATTTCTAATGATGTAAGCCTCCTCAGCACCATCTCGGCATGAGAATACATGTGCAAGCCCAGTCCTTTCCCTGGGCTGCGGTTACCTGACCCACTTCCTTCCATGTGCACTGCATGGCCCAGGGGACAAGTGGCAGGGATACCTGTCCGGATGGCCTCCTCCAGGCTGTCGTTCTGCTCTCCCTGGAGAAGTCGGTGGTAATAGCCAGGATTCTGTTCCATCTGTGCCTGGGCTCCGCTCACTCCCATCCAGACACGTGCCCGGTGCTCAAACGGGACCCCTTTCCGGATGTAGCGCTTCACTGAAAGAGAGAAAGCGGGCACTTTAGAAGGACCACTGAGGGTTCAGTGAGGTCAAAAATCCTGGGGAAAGGCTCTTCAGTCAAAATGGCAATCATTTCTCTCCCCAAATAAAAGCTAGGGAAGATCCAAGCCTTCATACAGCATCTCCATCAACACTGTGAACTGTACTCTTGGTAAAAGTCTACTGTCCCTTCCTAACATGAACTGTAAACTACACAGACAACAAGAGTCACTACATGTGTTTACTTCAATGCCCAAGGACTAAGGTGATCGTCAGAGCTTACTCCTTGATCCATCCGTTCACTGCCCCCGCACCCCAAACAACACTTGCTCAATGCTGAGTACATAAAGGGGAGCAGACTCAGGGTGCAGAATCAATCCACTAGTTATTACATATGGACGAGGGGACATCAACACATTTGTGGAAGAATGACATAAAAAGATAACTGTATAGGCGGAATACCTTAAAGGAAGTGAGGACCAAGCCAAACGATATAAAAACAAAGAGGACCCTGAAGTCCCCTATATGTTAAGTAAAAAACCCACACTCCTTGTCATCAAGGTGATGCTGACTCATAGTGACCCTATACGATAGAGTAGAATTGCCCCTATGGGTTTCCCAGACTGTAAATCTTTATGGGAGTAGAAAGCCTCCATCTTTCTCCTGGGGGGTGGTAGGTGGTTTCAAACTGCTGACCTTGTGGTTTGCAGGCCAACATGTAAGTGCTATGACACCAGAGCTCCCAGAGTAAGTCATAGTTGAGCTT